CACTTCGGCCTTGGTAACCGGGTCGTACCACGCTCACAATCTAATCATGGACTTACGAATTCATATGTGCCACGGACTTTTACACTCACGCGATGCTGCCTTTTCTCAGAATCCGCACGCAGCACTTCCATTCACCTCCCATACACTACCACTTTTTCCGCTGTATATTCTACTTCGAATGGTTCCACTTAAGTTGATGTTCACCTCGCCACCATCCTCCTCGACATCTCTCTCTGAGCCTACCGTTCCATTCCTCCTCACGTTAGAAACTCAAAGCAACACCTCACCACACTTGGTGTAACCCCTCTCCGGCACAGACACTCAGATTGAGAGAGGATGTGTGAAAGACTGATCGCACACTAGTTTGTGCCGAGTTGTCTTTATGGTTTGGTGGCCGCAAAAATATGAGGTTCAATCAGCTTGATGTTGCCAAGATTTCCAACCGTATCGTGCTGACCGACCAACAAAACGAGTTGGCGACAAGGCCAACTAGTAACTCACCAATGATTGTTGATCAACAGTGGGCAACCACTCCAAATGTGATGCAATCAGCTAGTTTGCCTGGTTGTGGCCTGACCCACCGAGTTATAAATCACTGGGTCTCCTCTAACTCTCTCAAACTCCTTGATGCACCTCAGGAAATCCCGGCAGACGGGGAGTACAATGAGCAGCGCCTCCCTCCGAAAGATTGAAAGACGATCGAAAAACCCCGATGGATGCTACGTGCAAAAGAGGTGAAATCAACAGCTAGGTATGGAAACAAACGGTAACTGTTCAAACTGGGCTCAGAAGACAGTACGTTAGTGAACCAATCTGCAAAGTAGACGGCACGCCAATATGCAGTTTTCACCGACGCTCGGAACACTGGTCAGAACACCTCACATCGTAGTTCAACCAGCCTCTTCTGCTGGCTGCCCCAATAAAATAAAATAAATAAATGTCTTTAATTCAAACATTCACCATCTAAATGTCTTTTTACTTCCTTTTTTATTATTGCTTCCGAAAGCCTCAGTATGGTCGGGGTGGATGTCTGGGATTGTGACTGATCACCATTCTCTTACACCTTGGGAAATGCTCCTATATGACCAAGCGTTTTAAATAGCCTCTGTTGAGGAAGCCCTACTCGCTACCTTGTGGCGGTGGTGTTTTCCCACACTTCAGTGCTACTTACTAATCTAATAAAAAGTTATTTACCCATTTCTCTGTCTGGATATTGTCGGTATTTTGATGCCTCAGAACGCAGTGCCTCTAACAGATGCTGGTTAGATCCGATCGTTGGATTCTGCTGTAGGTTACCAACAACTGGTTTAATAAAACTAAATATTGGTAATATTTCATCTAAACTGCTACTTTACAATTATACTTCGATGCATTTGAGTGTCGTTTTTCGTTGTTGCCAATCCTACGTACTGTCACGTCAGGCGATTTGTATTCCATACATCCATTGGAAGGGTTACTCTGTTTCGTTTAGTTCTTGAATCGAATTGCGCCTTACTTCTATTGTATCCCATCTAAGGAAGTGTCGCGAACGTTCTGTTTTATTCTCTTCTGATCCAGGATTGTTTGTGTCGGGGGCGATGGTTCATTTGCCGAAGCCACCCAAGGCTTGTTATTGCGGGAGCGCCTCCAGGCTAAGTTGCCCTTATTCCGGGGTCATTTCCCTGAAAGTCCACAAATCGTCCCTCCGTTGCGAGTTGGCATCATCCCTGCAGGTAAGAAAACCACTAGAAACCACTAGATATCAAACAACAAAGGTCTATATAATTTATTTCTCCATATTTGTGCCCGTACAAGACGTTCTATATTATATTTTAGAAAATACTACATTCTATGTCAAGAAAATAGTGCGCTCTCTGACGAATAAACCAACTCGGGTATAAATGTCTTACTCCTATTAAATCCTGCGTTTTTTCAGATGTAAGTTTCCTGCGATTTATTGGTGACAAAGAAAGTTGTTATGCCTTGTTTTTTCTTTTTTATGAAGATTATTGTACCATGATTTGCCTGGCACACAGTCTGTCCTCAGGCAAGTGTAAAATATATATATATGCCTTGTATGAAATTTCGTATTTGCTAGATACGTCTACTAATCGACTAAACGGCAGCGTGCATGTGTACGAATCTAGCAAAGTGATCCGGAAAACATTGTACAGACTAGTGATTTGAACGTCTTTGCCCAAGTTTGTTATGCTGAAGCAGTGTTCTCAAGTTTTATTTGGTTGTCTCCAATAATTAATTACTCTGTTGAGCACCATATGTATTAAGTTAATGAGCAATTTACTCGTATAAGTTATTGTGATTGTAGCACTAGTACAGAAAACTAACAAAGCAAATGTATACGTTTTTGAATTCGCTTATTCACATGGATTCACGTTCCTGTTGAGACACAGATAAGTTGAAACAGCTGTAAGATGCTTCCTAGCTTTTCAGCTCACACTTTATTTGCTCTATGCACGGTGGACTTTAACATATAGTTCGCGAGTTACGTTGAAATTGTCAAAAGTTCAGTAGCCTCGGTGGGATTTGAACCCACGGTGTGCTATCGGTGTTGCCTCGTAGCTCAGCTACTAGAGCATGCGCTGTACAAAAGCGTAAGCGGCATTCATACGTGAACAATTGAATGTTTCGCAATTTAAACATAAGACTTCAATCTGCCAAACAAAAGTATGCGAAATTCGGGAATTCTCAAAAACTAAAAACGTTTCACACCAGTCACCCTTCTCCAACGTTCATTGTATATTTTCAAGGGTAACATCTGTGCATGAAAGGACTGATTTTCAAAGGTTTATTTCAGAACTCTTAAATCGGCCTCTAACGAATGCATTTTGTTTCCAGTTTGGTTAGCCATGAATTCGGTGACACCAACGTTGAGGAGTATGATCAAATAGATTTAAAACATGGACTGTTTTAATGTTAAATCCGTCAGTTGATGCGTTGATATGCTCACCAAAACAGTCGATGGTGTTACCTGTGGCTCATGCGTCTGCTTCTGGGTTGTTTGATTTATCTTTTTCTATTTCTAACATTCAGCAGTATTGCCCAGTAGAATTAGTCGGGACGCTTCTGAAAGAATGTTTGAAACTGAGTAAAAAACTCGATTCAGTGGATGCCATTTATTCTTAGAATCAACAATCAGGTTTCCCAGCTCGCTCCTGAAGGGAACTTGATTCACGCACGACACAAAATGTAACCTGCCTCATCTATACTGGATGGCAGTGAATCAATCATACGTCATTCAATCCCTTGTTAGGTGTGGACAAACAATAATACTACTGAAGTAGTTCTACCGCGCTTATCATCTCCACTTTTTTGCTAAAAAAATATTGATGCTTAAATTGTTTGAAATTTATGATTGTACTGCTTTAGTTAAATCATTATTGAAATCTGTAAAAACTCATTTCAGTTTCGGTTCTTTCAACCCTTAATCATGCATCTCTGTGCGGCTGTTTTAGTTACTGCCTTTCGGTTACTCATTGAAGAAGAACTAACCAGAAACTATTCACAGATGAAGTTGTTTCCATTACCCTAATGCGGATAATCTCGTCAGTTTAGTGACGGAAAGCGGTTTCAGTTATTTGCCGTTAGATTTCAATGCTGAACTCTTGGTTTTGTTATTCTGTCAGTTGAACATCTACATCTGTCTTATGAGTTTCACATAGATGTCCACAAGCTTCCGACAACTGCCCTTTGAGGAATAGAACATTGAAGGTACTGTAACAATGAAACCATGAGAACTGCGTCCTTTGGAAAGGAATTATGTATTTGTGCTGCTTATCCGCACCATATGAAGCATTGGTCCGGAACGCATCTCAAACCTGCTAGGGTAACTGGCATCATGACTAGATGTGTATTGACAAGTCTGTCTGAAAGGGCACCTGATATCGTTTGTTTGGTGCGACTTTCCTATCAGCTGATTGTATATATAGAGTCTCAACTGGTGCACACCGTTTCTACCGCAAACCGGTGAATAGTAGGCCACTTTTTCATACGTCGTTCCTCTCGAGTTGACTTATTTATTTGGGTTGACATCTGAGCATCACGCCCGGGGGTGTATTAGATACGTGTGTGACTTGGGTTCTGTGACTATAGGCAACATCCCACGGTTAACCACAAAATTATTATTCTCACAATGAAGTGCACAAGGCGATGATGTGACTTCAGTACACCAAACCCTCCTATTTGTACAACCGATCAGTGAATGAACACTACAGCTAAGTAATCAGTATTTCCTGCTTTTTAATTTATTATCGACAAAATGGCTTCATTTTCAGTTTGTACAACCATTAACCAACCATGGCTTCGGTTTGACCCAGTTTAAAAGCTCTTACGAAAAACGGCCTCCTTTCCTGACAACAGTATGGTTAAACGATAGAAGATAAACCAATGATTGAGTTGTCTCTAATGGAATAAAGAAGGAACCAGCATACATTCGAGTATTTTCTACTTAAGTATTGAGTTCCTTGAAGAAAAATGATCTCAAAGTGGCTGCAATGATGACGTAATGTGAAACGAATGGAAATTAATTCTCTCCATTGGTTAGTCTTAAATAATGGTGAAATATATGTCACCAATCCTTCCTGTGCACTCAGATGATACGCATTTTTATGCTTTCGGAAGCATATAGAATCTAAGGTTGAGTTTGGTGAAACAGTGCTCTGGCTTAGGATGTTTTCAAGGCTTTTCTAGTTGATTTAGAGATGCATTTTATATTGTTCTGCAAACATAAGTAATGGGTGATAGCTTGCTTACGCCCTGGTAACATGCGGAAGATACTAATTGCACACATTGTGATGAAGTTGTCTCCGATAACTTGCTGTTTCTTAATATGGTCAGCTGACTAGCTCTGTCGATCGATAAGTCGTTTTCGATCGCTACTTTGAACCACCTGGCATCAGTAGAAATTGCGGCATCTGACGTACTCCACAAGTGAACAATGATCTTCATTGTTTAACAACTTGGGAGAATTATATATTTTTCGCTCTGGATGATATTGATGCATTATGTCGGATAATTCTTTCGTTGGAGAACAATTGGATCCCGTTTATTATGTTTGGTCTGAGTATGCTCTCGGTCTACGACCATCTGAGTTGGCTAGCATGCTGTCTAATCCACGAGTTCGCAGTGCGACTGCTAAAACGCGTTGTAATGTGGAAGTTACGAGGCGGGTGCTCAATCGGCGTCAGATGTCTTCACAATGGGCTAGATATTCCATTGTGCGCATAACGGGACCGGACGATCAGTCAATCAGCCAATGCAATCGCCTGTTAGAACGGGCTGTCCCTATCTATCAACAGCGGCGTGAATATCCACGCCGAGCCCCTGTTACGTACTATTCCAAAAATTTGGATGCCGAAGGTGATTTTAGCACGCGAGCAGGTGACTCGGCGTTAGCTGCTCTAATCAGTAAAAGTCAAGGTACCAAGCGAAGATCTTCCAGTGAATCCGAAGCCGCCCATGGGTTGGGAGCTCCAATGGGAGCTATAAGCCGGAGTGATGCGAACACTCCTACGGGACGTCAAACAGAGCCTGTTTCTTACAAACTTTCGGATAATGAAACTGGTAATTCCGTGCTAGCGAGCACAAAGGTGGATTTGAATATGACTACTATGATGGGAGGTCATTCACCGCCTAACCTTATGAAAACAGACAGTGAGATTCGGATCGAAACCATGGTTAGGATCGCTTCGAGGAACGAAGATGGCGGAAACGTTGTTACTATGACACCTCTAATGGTGGATAGTACCGTTACTCCTGTCATGAGCCGATCCCTATCAAGAACAAAAAGTGTACAAGACTCAGCAGATCCTTCAATACTGGCATCAGATAAACGAGAAACTCCAGAAAGTGACCGTAGGCGCAGTTTACTCATACACCAACCTAGTACCGCAGGTGTTCAGATCTTCGGAAATAAAACGAATTCCACCCCACTGATCTCACCGAAGCAAACCCCTGTTGATCAAACTATCAATTTGAAGAGCGGAAGTGAGTTTCAGCAGGCTTTTGGTGCATCAGGTGCCCTAACCTTGAAAGCTTCGTACGTGAGTGAGGGTGGTGAATCTGCGGTTTTGGAAATCGGAATCACTTCATCTACCCCAAATGTTTTTAGTGGTGGCTCACCGACACAAGACGCAACTGTCAAGCCTTGTGATCCCGACATGACTCCTTCACTGAGTTTTTCTGGTCCTCAAAAGACTCCCTGTGACCTAAGTGATATAGACGGAAGTCGATCGTCACATGAATTGGCCAATGTACAAGGAAAAAATCCATTGACTGAGACTAAAATGCAGCGACCAGGTAATGCTAGCTCTCCGTGTCCACCTTCCAGGTCGCAAAATGATAAGTCCCATTCTCCCTGTAATTTAACTGAGGTCGATGGAAGCCTGACTCCGCGTGAGATTTTGGGCATGGCTAGTCCCAACGAAAATACTGACATCGCCCGTGTTTTCACGGAAAAATCCTCAATGGAACGTTCCACTACGAAACCCGGATCTCCTTGTGATATGAGTGAAGTGGACGGCACTAAGTCATTGCGTGACATGCTCACATCTCCTGGTGCCGAAACTCAATCTGGTTTCTTACCTAGCAATCTTGAATTGGCCACGGGGACGCAGCCGATTGTTCAGCCACGAGGTTCACCCTCCGTCTCTGCTGAGGTTAATTTATCTGTTCGCCAGCAAGTGGTCAGAATGGATTCCGAGCAAGCACATGATTTGTCCAAAGTAGATAGCAGTAAACCAACGGTGAACTCTTTGATGCATGATTATCGTACCTTGAAGGGGCCAGTGAACGTAACGCGACAGAATAATACCTTAGTTGGTGAACAGCATGGTGTGCAACACGTTTCGGAAAGTGAACTTGCTGAAATAGGTGAAAATCGGGCGCCCAGTGCCACACTGACAATGCAAACTCATTTATCATATAAGGCTGATCTAAACACAGATACAGGTTGGTCGCTTGGACAACAGTTATTTTTGAAGGAATCTGATGCACCTTCTAAGCTGCTTCAACTAGATATTGGTCATCCTACAGATAGACTGTTTCCGGTTACTTCCTCGTCAGAACACCGGTCCTTTCCAGGTGATACATACATACCAACACAGGCAGCCAGTCAACTGCTAACGCAGAGATCCACTGATCAACCTTTGGAGTTTACCGAATTTGACAGAAACAGACCAGCCCATGCGGCTTTGGGCTCTCAAAGAGTTTTCGAAGGATCAGGTATACCCGGGGGATCCAGTGCCTATGAGAATCAAACTCCAGTTGCAGTGAGCGAGCAACAGCAGCTCGGC